GGATTCAGACGTTCTTCTCTCAAGCTTAGACATATTTCCATTTAATCGAAGCATTTACCACTCTTAGCTTCTCGCTCTCTTCGAGCCCTTCACCGAGGAGATTTCAATGGAAATGACCAAAGAGTTCAGAGCTTTAGTTTCACTTAAGTACGTGACCGGCCATTACAAGAACCGATATGGTTTTGGATCAATATTTACTTCAGTTCTCTTCATCGCGCTTATCGATCAATAAGAAGTTCGTGATATCCTGAAGAAATGGGAATATACTACAGAGCCTGCATGGTGCAGGGGCACACTTCCAGCTTTTCAACGGACCAAGGTCGACTGAGGGTTCTTTGTGAAATCGTTGTCTCTTTCCATCAGGCAGCGTGACTCTCACCTGCAACAACTGGAGACTTGCTTTGCTACTGAGTCATTTATATATTCCCATCATAAATTAGTCCATTGTAAATAATATAATAAATAATGTAATAAATATATCGTATGTGACCAGGCTGTAAGTATAGGTTCAATCTATTCATCTGAGAGGCTGAGGTACCTCCGGGGATCTACAGCGGATCCATCCTTGTTGTAGTTCAGAGAAGGGGGTTTCTGCCTATAAGTTACCCAACAAAACTTGTTGTTTACTTACGTTTACTTATAAAAAAGCCGAAAATAACCTGGATCATGTATCTGAGTTATGGGATAGTACAGTATTTAGCGTTCAGTCGAAGCCATAAGTACAAAGCATGCTGTTCGTCTCGATTGAACTTAATCTCACAGATTACTTGGATGCTTTTCCACCTTGGCCTTCCTACTGATGAACTACTTTAGGTCGATTGTGTTCACTCCTGAATTCTATCATCTCAATCTACTGAAACTTTTGTAAGGAATACCATTTTAGACATCTTTCACGGAAAAAGAATACCGACCGAAATGTCCCTTTAGAAGTTTCCATTGCCTGGTGAGATCTGTTATTGTCACTCCCACGCTAAGGTCGTTTATGCAAATGAACGACGTTCGGAATTTGATGGTACGTGGGTGGTTGAATACCCTAATGGGTAGAGAAGAATGTAATGGGTGGGTGACGTCCAGCGGTGTTTCTTATTACGTCATGGTCATATGAAACCAGATCGAGAAATACCCTTCATCTTTTCGATGGTACGTAGGCGGTTAAAGACCTTGATGTGATTACCATTCACCCGTGAACTAATGGGGTGTTACCGGAAACGAACGTCAGACAGCCGGCCAGTTCAAACCTTTTTTGGAGCTTTTTGGGATCACCTTTGTGAAGATCCACTCAGACAAATCCGTCCAATGAAGAGAGCGAGTTTAACCTCAGAGCCAGACATGGAGAAAAGAAATATAGATAGGGAGGAATCGCTGGAATCCTATTGTATGGACTGAGGATTCCGATGTACGGTACATTCCCTGATACTGTACTCCATTACTGTAATTTACACTGAGAGTTTAAGTTCAATTTTTTCTGATATTCCTATTTCTTCAGAATGCTAGGTGGTCAGAGAGAACCAATTTGGATCAGTTCCGGCAACGCAGGGCGGCATTTAACACCACGTTCGTAGAAATCAAGCCCCGATGGTGGCGGAAATGGTTGTGGCGACCTTTTCGAAGCCTTTCATGTGGTGTTACTGCAGCAGCAACACTTGGTAACTTGTTCTGCGTACTCTTTTTTCTACCAGTCGAAGGCCATAAGAGGATTACGGTCTGTGAAGTAGTTGTTCCGCATTTGATGACAATATGTGGCGGAATCTGTGCGAAGCATCACACATCATGCAGCAGCGCGAGCAGCACGAGGAATTGTCCGTTTGCTCGCGTTTTTCTGACCATCGAAACAGCTGCGACCGGAAATGAAACAGGGTTTCCATAAGTGGGCAGCTCGTTTTTCTAAGGTGGCGCAACGGTGCACTGCACCACACTGTTCTCAACGGATTGAACCGCAACCCGGCTGTCGGCAAAGGAGTTTTTAACACCTACGCTCCATTTCTTTCGGGACAAGGTGGGACTTCTAAGACAAGGTATAACAAAAGTGCTCATCAGTACATTCGGTCAGTCGACCCCGGCTGTAAAAGGGTTCAGGAACCTCCATGAGTCCAATATGAGTCAGGCGGTTATCGGACCGCTCCATGGCTGTGTATAGGTCATCTACCACAAAATAAGGGTTCAAAAAATGATTTTTACTAATTTTTAGTCGTACAGTAATCAGCTCTGAATGATTTTCTGAGTTTTCAGGGGTTTCAATTTTTGAAGAGACCAGAAAACACACAAAAAACTATTTCAAAGTTTTGTCAGTTCGAAAAAAAAACGCATGCCATCGCTTGCATTTTGAATTTTTTTTTAATTTTTAATGACCTATACTTATAATTTTAAGTTTTATGGGCTTTAGTTCGAGACTTTAATCAAGTTTTTCTTCTTGGGTACTTTTCAAATAGTTTCACTTAACGTAATTGAGTTCCTTGACGCTCATCACTGTCGACGTACTCATTGAAAAGAAGTAACTGCAATTTTCCGTTCACGACCGTTCTACAGTACAATAAAATCTTGTTTCTAATTTCTTTCCACTCCTGTAAAAGGTGACAGTTAAACGGCCTTGCCAAGTAAAAAGTAAGTGTATCCTTTTTTCAGCCCAAAATGGGAAGGTCGACACTTTGACAGGGCAATTTGGCTTTCGGCGCCGTCTTTCATTCAATTTCTCTGAGACGTAATCCTTGAAAAAGGCAGAAAAAGGTTTGAGCGAAAGAGTGAGAGCTGAGTAAAAGCGGAAGTGGCCAAGAAAAGTTTGTTTATCGGTTTTTGTTTACTCCTTGACGTCGGTTTCCCTTAAACAAATTGCGATTCAGCCTACCAATCTACAAAAATCCGTAGGAGGGGTCCGAACTGGGCGAAGTGATCTTTCTCATTGCCCCGTTACGCCACAAAACATCATTGCGGTGTGTCGTCGAATTTCGGGGAAAAAAACAACAACACCTAATCGTTTACAAAGCCGGTCACTTCGTTTTACGACACCGGAAATGATGAAAGATTGAAGAAAAGGCTAACTTCTCAATTCGTTTCTGATTTAACTGCGTAATCGGTTTCCCCTAGGAAAGAAAGGAAATCAAAAGGACTATTACAAAAAATAATTGGGAAGTAGGAATGGGCTTAGAGAAACGGAATTACAGCGAACTTTTTCTCCCACATTCGCCATATGTCCATCTATAGCTTCTCTTTGACTTCCCCCCTTACTGAGAACATTGGAAGTCAAATTTCTTAATAGTCAAGTTAATGAAACCGTTAGGAACGGTTTCATCTGGAAGAAAAAAAAAACAAAAATTATGAAGATTATCTTAAGAAGTTCTAAAAAGTTTGAGAACGAAGAAGGATTGCGCGAAATCGCTTGGAACAAATGATAAGGAGAAGAAAGCGAAGCCCTGGCCTAAGCTGGTTTTTGACAACATACAGACCGTGGGAGTCGATCCACCATCTTCACTGAAGCTATGATGCCCATTCGGGAAGCTTAGGAGACAGCACATTGCCTAGGTCAAACAGTTACCCTAACGGTTTTGTCTGAGTTTAGTTAACATTAAATCGAGTCCATCACCACTAATCAAAAGCGGAATGCATGGCTCACACGTAAAGAATCGGTTCCATCGAAAGTCTTCAATACAAACCTATGACTACAACTTTTTTCCACAGTAAAGACCCTTTATGAAAAATTCCTTTCCGCACGTAGTTCGTTTTTTTCCTGAAGAAAAGTGATAGAAGTTTTTATGATTCCGGCAAAGTCTATCCAACAAACCCGTGAAATTCTATAATCAAATGATAAGTTTTTTGATAGTCAAAAACGCTTTCCACAATGTCAACAGGTGGTCATTTCCGCCGCCGTTTTCGGCCAGTCACATGGTTTTCGAGAGAACGTGCTTTGCCCCTGATCCATAACTGAAATGATTTATGACGATTATGAACAATTGGACATTCGAAAAGTGACGATTTTCGACCGTGGAGGTACTCGCCGAGAAGTTTTCTTTTATCAAAAAATCTTTTAGAGATTCAAAAAGAGGCAGAACGAAGTAGAATTTGTCGAACTATGAGTACAGGCCATTTCTGTGGATTTCACTGTTCTTAAACGTAAGAGGATTTCGGCAGTAATTCTAGGTTAGACTTTTACGGTGCTTCCGAGGAAAACTTAGGTGATCTCTCTGAAATCATTGCTGAACATGGTTGCTTTTGAGAACTTTTTTGTACTCTGAAAAATCTTCTCCATTAGGGACACAGCAGTATGAAAAATTGGGAAATAATGAAAAACGAGTGAATTTGCGATTAAAAATGCTTTTATTCTGACTTTTTGGCCATTAACCGAGCAATTTCAGCCGGCTTTTCTTTCTATACTTCCAAGCTGAATACTTACTTTCACTCAACGCTGTCTGGCCTGTGACAGCGATTGTGAATTTTAATAATCATGAACATAAGTCAATAACATTTCTCAAAGCTGAGATTTCCGCTTCTGTCTGCAGCGATGGTATGAATGGAAATATTAATAGAACTAGTATGGACTAGTTCATTCATTTTTGCCACTCTTAAGACTTTTTCAACAACCTGACCGATATTTTAAATTAATTTTTTGAATTTTGTAATAATATTTTATAAAAGTCGGATGTGAAAAACTCTTATATTAGTTAGATACTTTCAAGAGAAACGGAGGAGGTCGAATACATGGCGTATACTCGAAAATCTGAGCACATTACTTTTTAAGCGTTTAAATCCAATTTTTTCTCATACTAAATCTCGACATGAACAGCCAATTGCATTCTATAATACCTTGGTGAAGTGGCTTCCTGTCATGAAAACATGAAAAGGTCTTCAAAGTGGATCTTACATGAAGCACCAGATGTCCTGAATCCCATGCAATGCTCCTCATGCTTTTTCTCGATTTTCAAGTTCGGTTGCCTTTTTTTCACATCTTCTCGAAGTGAAAAATTAAATCGTGAGGAAAGACTGTTTCTAATATGATCGACAACGACATGTCACGATGCGGTGCTGTTTCGATCGCATATGTATGTGACAAATATAACACCTAAATGATGAATTCTTTTTAAGAAAAAACCAGAAAATAAGGTTACCTACCGGTGGCTATCTCCCTGATATCATTTGGCGAAAGGTACAGACAAGGGGGTCGAGTGGCACCTCATGAGGATGGGAGTCAATCGAAACTAAGGACCGCTCATTTATTGCTCGGACTAGCATTGGCCATTGGACTTGTCTGAAGGTTGATGATCAAGAGGTTCAATTTCGCTCTCCTTCTACAGTTATTCCGTTTATAAACTTTTAAAAGTCGACAGAAATTTTGAGGGAACGAAAGGCGTGGCCTACTCCTCAGCCATTTCATCTCCCATTTATCATAATTGCCTCCTACGGCTGGTAGTTTTGTGAAGTGGAATACGGTCTCATGAGGGAAAACTTCCGAATAGAGACCGCTAAAAAGTGGTGAATTATCGAGTATGATACGGAATGATTTACGTTATTCCAGAACGAACTGAATTCGGTGCAGAATCTTCGTCTTTGACAGGACTAGATCCTAGCCCATTTTGGCGCCACGGAGTTCATCAACCGATGCCTACCAGCAGTCCTAAATACTCGAGGTGCTCATTCCACATTTCAAAAACTGCTGATGACGACCACCCAGTGACTACGGTGGAAAGCTATCTAACAGCATGATCTTATGACAAAAATACGAGTAAAGAATGAAACAGGCGAAACAACTGTGACCGTCGCTCATCGATGATGTCTACCTATGATTACTGCACAGTAGCGCTCGATTTAAGGGAAGGAAACGTCTTTTATGAGGTGGTATATGCTCTTTCCTCTCTGGGACACACCCCGCCATCGATGAAGGGCCTAATAGCCGACGGATATCTCGGAAAACTCGTTTTTCCAGCTCTACGAAACTTATTTCATTGGCCAGGTGCCAAGTTTCCACTTTCATTCAGTCAACACCGTCGTCCTCCATCATCATCGACTACTGCAACTCAAGACTTTACTACAAGCTCTAATGGTACTCGTTTCTTCCGCATGCAAATCTTAAGTTCCCGATCAAATTAATTCCATTTAAAAAAAACTTCAAGGGAACCTATTCTACTTGAGTGAGTGGGTGCTATTACGTCGTGGATCTCGGCCAATTCTTTTTCTACAGTTGAGTATTAGTAAATGGTCTATAAAAAGGATAATTGTCCTTAAATTGTTTACCAATAGACGCCATAAACGTTATGAGCCATGGATGAGTTGCTGGCATTCTCGGAGTCAATAATTGTCAGATTCATTGTGTTGTATTCCTCTTGCTCCCGAACCTCTGCAGAACTCAAGGGACTGGGGTTTTTCATTTTTTTTCGTAGGTTTAAAATTATATATTTTTTCAGCTGAAGAATTCCTCAAAATATCTATTCAGCATTTTTTTTGCCCCTAAAATACCTTACCTCAACTTGGAACCGGTTAGGACCTCTCCGCGATACTGCCCATTCATTATGGCTTCTTCCAGCTGATATGGGGTGAGAGCTGAAGCATTTGTGGATTCCTGCTTACAATCAGACCAGGCACCGATTGACATTCCTTCAGAGTAGGGAGAGAGTTTGAGTGGTATACAACCAACCTAGAGACCAGCCTGTAGAAGCTCAGTCACCAAATAACTGGCTTTGTATGGTTCAAAGCGTGAACGGGAAGGAACAGCCCTCTTTGTTGCTTGGCTCCAATTCATCCCTCTGTCCAAGCAGCAACTCGCACTGGGGGAGGGGTCGTCTGGCATGGGCGGGATTTGATCTCACCGCCAAATAGAAGCAATACAATCGTCACACTTGTATTGGTGCCGTACCTAGACCAATTAGAAGAAGTTCCCAGCAACCTTGTCCTTAGTTTTGCTAAGCAGAACGCAGAATTGGGGAGAATGGAGGCAACAGCGGCAAACGAATCTATCAATGAAAATAGTTTTCTAGATAAAAAAAAAGGAATAAAAAAAGTTAATTTTTCACCCAAATTCAATAAAAAATTTGATTTGAATATTTTGCAAAGTAACTGCCCCATTAATTTTACAAGATATAGTCGGCTCGAATTAATCAAGCTCTCAACAACTAGCAAAAGCCAGCTTCCAACCCTAAAAATTGACTATTGACTGGTCTCATGACCTAAAAAAATATCTGTTTGTAAAAGTTGAAATTCGAAAGCGAAACTACTCGTTCGGCTCCCAAATTCATAGGTTGCCTAGAATATTAACTCGAACCAATCTATGAACTAGTTTGTTATGATCACTGAACTTGCCTGGTCACTTACTTATAATTAAATTATAACATTAAGTGAAAAAAAGACAGAATCGAACAATAACCCTTTACGAATGTTGCGAAAAGTTGTACGCATAAGCTTCGTAGTAGTGATGGTTTTAACTGATCATAATCGATCAGTAATATCAATAATAAAATAATAATATGTATTAATAAGTATTATCTGTAAATAAACATAAATGAATACACATAAGTAAAAACACATTCATTAATAATAATCTTATTAACTAGATGAAAAGCGATCATTTACGATATCTGACTTTGAATGGTAGCTAAAGATTCAAAAGTAAATTTATGATTTAAAAAAGTAGATAAGTAACAGTAACTAACAATACTGATAAGTTAAACATACCATAAAAATAAATCAAAAATACAATAAAAAGAGTATTAATTGAAATGGTGAACAGTTTCAAAAATAATGTAAATTTCGTCGCAACAATCCTCAAAGTTTGTAGAAGGTCGACAGTAATAAATACCAATTTTGAGTAGTATTAAAAGATACTACTCAAATTGTAGTAAAACAAAAAGCCATTTAACGCTGGCAACCGAGCCAAAAAATTTATATCGACCTCTGAAGTGAGATAAAAAATTCAAAAGAGTACTGTAATAAAGCTACCATCCACTGAAACCATTGTTCGGACTTGAAGAAATATAAATTGAGTTACTGTTGCCGGCAGAGTTTTTCAGCAGGGCCTATCGCAATGGCAATGAGTGAAATCGTAATAGGNGAGTAGTATTAAAAGATACTACTCAAATTGTAGTAAAACAAAAAGCCATTTAACGCTGGCAACCGAGCCAAAAAGTTTATATCGACCTCTGAAGTGAGATAAAAAAGAATTCAAAAGAGTACTGTAATAAAGCTACCATCCACTGAAACCATTGTTCGGACTTGAAGAAATATAAATTGAGTTACTGTTGCCGGCAGAGTTTTTCAGCAGGGCCTATCGCAATGGCAATGAGTGAAATCGTAATAGGTAATTGCTACAAGTAGCATACGGCAAAAAGAAACTGGTACATACTAACTAAACTTTTAAATGCCAATGAAGTAGTGCCATCCAAAAATTTAGTCAGTACTAGTTACTAGTTTGAGCTAGCTCCTCGTGAACGGTGACTAAACTGAAACACTGCGACGAGGAGAATTAATTAATATGACTAGCGGGCCGTAATGGAACCGCTATTTGAGAAAACTTTATTGGTCTTACGGTAACCGTTGACGTGACGTTTTACTTCGATTCGGACATAGTAATGGCTTGATAGAAGGAGAAAGCGTCGTTTTCCCTAGTAACATCCTGATAATTACCAAATGAAAGGTCCCACTTTCTTCGTGTGAAATCCTTAACACCGATTTCTTCAATGGAAGGGAATCACGATCTCTTCTCAAAAAAAGCTTCTGGAAAAAATTCGGGCAAACTGAGGAGAAACTTCGCTATAACTTCAAGGTTTCGAGGAGATTGCAGTCGCCGCTGCACCCCGAGGCTCGGAGATCAGGTCTTACTTTAGATCGCATCTGTTCCAACTAACAAAGGATTCACTCCCCTCGAGCTCCCTGGTAAATCTAGACGAGTTTGGAAAGTGAAGAAAACCGTCATGCACTTCGATTGATCAGCTAGTCAATAGCCGACCACTTTTTGAAGCCACCCAAATTTTTAACGGAGGACGAGTGCGTGGCAGACCCTTTTCAGAAGACTCGTCGAAGCAAAGCGACTAGAGTCAGGCAACTGTTTCGATAGCCATAAAGAAAATTCTTTGAGACGATCAATTCTTCCCGGATGAGCATCACTTGTACTGGGAAGCCCTGAAAAACGCATTGGCAAGAAAGCTGGAACCTGAGGTGAGCCTTCTGACTCCTTTGATAAGTCTAGCAGATATACGACCCTTCAGAGACGGAAATTAGTGTTGACTGATAAAAACTCGAAAAGAAAGGTTTCTTTTTCGATTCGTAACTCATCCCCGTGTAACTGGTAACCCAACGCTGTTAGTATCTAGTCGCTTCGTCTTTCAATTTGGAAAGTTTAAGGTCCTCATAAAATGGACGTGAAACCTACTAAAGGACTTGTGCAAGGGCATACGCCGAGAAAAAAAGAAAACACGTTCTCGCAGAAGGCCAGAACTAATTTGCAGACTATAATTCCTATGTATTACATTGGGTCGAGTTACCGCAAACTAAGGAAAAAGTAGTAAGTCGGTAGAAATTTAGATGAATAGTTTTCCTTCGATATTGTCCATCTACAAATTCGATTTCCAACCAATTTCATTATTTTTGGGAAACCAGCAGAGTAATCAAGTGGCTGGTAGAAGAACTATCACGTTAATAATGAAAGGTCCTTACATATGACTTGTAATCTTGTTAGTCCTACAAATGTTAAAAACAATCAGTATGACAAACACAAATACTTTCGCGTGCACGGCGCATACCATTGCTAGTCACCAGGATCGACTATAACATCTATTTCTGGCCGCTAACACTACCAAATAAGCTTACCAAAATTCAATAACAAATAGAAGTCTTCAGATTCCCTGCTCACACCGATGAATCCCCCATCATCCCGCACCTCCGCTACTGCGTCTCCATGACACTGGCAGTTTTTCCCCACTACTTGCGAATTTCCCTGAAAGAAACACCTGCAGCTGCAGCTAAAACCGGACGTCTTCGCCTTCAAATAGGTCGACGAACTTTTGCAGAAAACGTTTTTTTTAGCGAAAACTACGACAATGGCGATACCCTGATGAGAACCGTCTGGCCATTGAAGGGCACAACCCTTGACCTGTTTCATTTCAAACAGACTTCACTTCTTCGTTATAACACTCTACGGACACAAACGGTTACAGTTTTTGAAAGTCGCGCTGTATGTTTGTGTTGGCGACGTTTACGACGATTAAGTCGGTCCGACGTATGAGTAGCTAGCACCTTTTGCGATGGGCGCACTATTCATCCGGCTACCGTAACAGCGCCCCCGTCAGGGCACCGGAAGCCGTAGCGGGAGGAGCGGCGGGTGCGCGATGCCGCCGCCGTGGCCGGCCGCCGGTTGCTCTCCACCACCACCACCTTTCTGGGCGACTCCGCCCATGGACCTCGACCACCCTATAAAAGCTCGGGTAGTCAAGAGCACGCACTTCTCACTGCAGAGCATGCACAGCCTCAGCAACAGCAACAATATGACAATTCGTTTTATCGTTGCTCTTCTGCTTGCTGGCGTCTATGGTGCGTTCGAAAAGACAAGTTGTTTCTTTCTTTCGATTGTTTTTCATTTGGTGGACTTACTGTTTTCAGCGGTCAAAGCCGGTTCACCATGTGCTGAAGGTTGGCGATATTTCCCGGTGACAAATACTTGCTATAAACTCATCGACGATGAGTTACCATGGACGATAGCCGAGTTCAAATGTCTATTCCAAGGCGCTCATCATGCCTCTATTGGTAGCGCTGCCGAAAATAAATTCGTACATGGTGAGCATTCAGAATGTTGTCACGAATCCTTTCCTTATTTTTATTTTTACCGCTAGCTGTTGAGTTTGAGAAAAATTGAGCGAAAAGTCAACTTAAATGGTCCGATTTTCTCATTTTGTCTAGACCTTACTACAATTATGTTCATGCTGATGGGAACATCCATGATTTTGGAAAATCTTTTAAATAATAGCGAACCATGACCTTACAATCACGACTGTCCATGCAAAACATAGAAAACTACTGGCAATTCTTGAAAACTGAGAATTTCCAAAAAAANAAAAAAAGAATCTTCTAGATCGCGATATGTTCCCATCCAAAACCACACATGAGCAGCGTTCCTGGGTGACCCCATATTGCAGGGCCGGGAAACATTTTGCTCTTTTTCTTGTATTTTCTGTGAAATTTCAATGGTTTCTCTTTATTTTCTAAGTTTTCGAAGGTTTATCGAAAGCGATGGCTACGTCCATTTCCAATTGTCCACCCTAACCATATGGTAATGGCCCGGACAGTGGTCTTTGTTCAATGCCCGCAGCCGCTGCAGGAAACTGAGACTCCCTTGCGAATTGATGAGGTCTTTGCAAGAACCTGTTCCACTTTTGCACTGACCTGGCTCATATTCTAACCCAACAAGTCGTTAGGTGCTCAAAAAGTAAATGACTAGTATGCCTGATACTGTGAAGGGTAATGGGCTCGAATGGGAATAGAACCCTCCCGAGTACCCCAACTCGAACTTTGCTACAGCCAGTTGTGGCCTGAAAAGTGCCTAGCAGTTCATAAATCTTTTCAAATCTCTGCAAGAAAACTCTCTATTCTGCAAATTGGCGTCGACTCGCGTTTCGAACGATATTTCGCAGATTTTCTCGGTATATACAGTCCATCAGTTCGTTACAGTCACATTGACCCATATAAAACGCCTTGGGATTTATCAGAGAACGAACGGTATTGCTTCTGGTTTGGCCTGAGACCTTTAGTATTGCTGGGGAAGATGCTGAAAGCTCCAGAGACCGTTTTGGAAGCCCACATCATCATCGCCCCATTTTGACCGGTTCACCGACTTAATTGAAGTAGCCCAGACCAGGAGCTAAGTTTAATACTTCCTGAACTTTAATGGACTCTTTAAGCACCCGATTAAGCCGATTAGGTAGCAATTGACGAACTGAGACCCATGAATAGCCATACGGCAGAGAACTCGTCCAACCCTAATCTTCGTTTTTGCAGAACTTGCACGGCATGGCGAGATGTGGACTGGAGCCGCTTGGTTCGGCTCGACACCAAACTATGTGAACTCGGATCAGACACCTTACGGCTCCTACACGAATTGGAAATCTGGTAAGTGATCAGCTCTACAGTATCCTACAAGTTTTACTTTTCACACCAACAAAGGCTGTCTGACCTTTTTCGCATAACCCTGACACTGACTTGGGGAAGGAGAGTTGGTAGAAGGTGGCATTACGGCCGCGCTATGGCCGGTTGAGCGTTCCCGTTCACAAGTGACAATCATTTGGTGGGTGGTGGAAGGACGGAGACCTGATGGGCTGGTGATGGGCTGATGTGAGACCGGAAGTAACTGAAAAAGACCTCGACGCGCTCTGTCGTCGTGATGCGCTGGCTGTTTGCGAAACTCATCATCACCGTCATCATCGCTCTACATCGGTTTGTGGTGATTAGATGGAAGACGCCATCCCCCCATTGATCATGTCGCAAGGTCTTTCCGATTCTCTGTGACTTCCGCTAGGTCACACATGCACAGACAGGCAGACGGCGATTAAAGGGACATCTCTATTGAAGATTGCAAACATTTAGGTTTCCCAATCGGTTCTCTTAACAACATCAGCGAAACCCATGGCTTGACGGGAGTCTCCCGAAAGAGCCCCGAAGGGATTTTAACGGGAATACCTCCTAAGCGCTAGAAGAACACTAATCGGAAGATAAACAAAGAAGGATGAGTGTGAAGAGCCATCAATCCCTTAGAACATATTAGTAGGCCGGAATAGCTTCATCTGGTCAAATGGTGTCTGGGAACTTTGGGAACACTATCAATTCGGGGACCGAATTACAGTATCAAGTGAGTAATCAAGTCTTCTTTCCCAGACTTCTAAGTTCCCATCCAAGTTCCACTTGGATGGGAACTTAGAAAACTGGAAGCCTTGGAAAGAGTTATGGCCTCATCATATAGGTTTGGGTTTTGGGNTTGAGGTTGAGATCCTCAGATGGGAACAGTCTCAATAGCCTTAAGCTCAATTTCTTAGAGACCTTCACCTTAATTCACTTCGTCTATGAAGCTTCTTCAATCGGTTACTGCAAGGCTTGTTCGAACTGTCAATATTTGGGTCCTTTGCAGTCATCCGTGACTCCCATCTGGGAGATACCCATCATCGTTATGACTAAATTTGATAGACCAACAGGCTGCGTCAGTAGATCTTCGGTTGCAAACGAACTTGTTTCTAATCTTGAAACAGGCCGCATTGTTGGAAAAACAAATGTACTGTAAGCGGAACCGTTCCACTTGCCAAGAAGGTTTTTGAGGGGGACTGCGCGTGATTTTTAAACTCGCCATTCTGAATAATGGCCGACGATTTCCCTATACAGGAGAGATAACGGGGATTCTAATCTGGAAAGTGCTCGCGAATCCAGCGACCCATAACACCTTCAGACCTCCTAAACATCCAATTTTTCGATACCTGAACTTAAAGACCCTAACGACCATACGAGGCCAGTAAGGCTCAGGCTCCTAGATCTTTATAGACCCTATAACTTTTGGCGAATTACTTTTCTTACCCGAGCTAGGTGGAAGGTTGGGCAAGTGAAATAGGGTAATTTATCTGAGCATCGTCCATCCAGACTTTTGCTGAGCAGAACCAAAAAACGTAGAGATACTGACGTGCCCATCAAGGATCATTACCAGTTTCGGTTCAGTTTGTTTCGCGACGTTAGAAAAACCTTTTCCGGCGCTCCTTCATGATAGACTTCCATACAATACATTACAGTACGTTGTAATACTAGTAAAAGAAAGGGTGATGGTGTGGTTGAATTGGAACGCCACGACAAAGTGCACAACTTTTTCTAATCGTCCGTGCATGTCTCACGGTCAACTAGGTTTGGTACAGGTGGTGACCTTTGAAGTACGTCAAACTCGATTAGTTTCAATTTGATCGTTTCTATCTTTTGCCCATAGCTCAAGAGATTCGAGAAGGGTCGCATTTCGCTTTAAGAACAACATTCCCAAGCCATGAAGCAAGTGGTTGGTCATTCGGGAGAAGATTCCTTCTAACGATCTGTCACAGACTATTTGAGTTCTGAGTAACAGCCGTGCACCGGTCTCGGACGGGACCGAGCTGGAATCTATGATTCCTGAAACTTCCCTTATCCATCACACTACCGAGACCCCGCTATTTGTACTTTTGAACAAGCAATTTACCATGCTGTTTGGACATCGAAAGGTATTACAAGCCCCTCAGGCTCTCTTAGTACCAAGAGCTTCCGGACAGTACTTTGTACCTACCGTAGCTAGGTGGATCGAATACCTGTCCTAAAAAATCTCGTGGTCCCATTCATTCTTCCGGAATAGTTCAAGCTATGAGGATGCCCCGAACCTCTCACCCCACTGGTCTTCGTCTACGCTATTTTCCCTGGTATAGAAAACTTTGAAAAGTTGAATGCTGACCTTCCATGATAAAATATCAGCATATCTTTTTTCAGGAGTGAATCCAGGGCTGAATAAAGCTCGACGATGTATTAAGATTGGACGAGACGGACAATGGTTCCAGTCCTGCTGCAAGAAGAAGGGACTAGCCGTATGTGAGAAGCCAGCCGCCTATTCATGGGAGTCAACCAACGATCTCTCGGAATTCCGTCGAGCGAAGTTCCGTCGATTCCGATTCTAAGTCACTGCACCAAGTCGTCAACAGAAACAAAAACACACCGTTCAGTCACCTCCCGATTTGCCACCCGAAACATCTGAGTGGTCATACCAAAAAACTGACACACGCACCTGGTCCCCCCAGATGGGGCCCTACACATAACGACGACGGGTGTAGGATCAGTTCGTATATTTTTCTGACAGTTTTAGGGCGTAAACGACGTGTAGATTTGTAGATTTGTTTTCGTTCGATGATTGCTCCCATGTGTGAAATAATCCCCTGCGCGAATTCATGTGCCTCTCGATTCTCACACTTATGAGCCTTACCATTTTCGGCGACTGGGACGCGCTTTTCCGGACGGCGTCAGCGCTTCGGGGTCGCCTCTCTGACTTGTATTTGCTCTATGTCTGCCTCATCATGCAGTTTCAACTGCATCCATGATGACCCTTGTGATTGTTCGTCGGCGTTCTGTCTGGCCTGCCAATCGCCGCCGAATACGTGTATATGTCTTGTGAATATTTCATTTATTACGGATATTTTTGAATAAACTAATTGATATAAAAGCTGTATGTACAGTGGATATGCAAAGTCGCTTTGATAAGTGAAATTGGAATTTCGCCAAAAATCCGGGCGGATTTGGAGTAAGCCATGCATCAGTTAGCCAGAACACTATTCAGAACACATGGGCCCTTTCAATGGGAACGGCTCTCGGAACTAAATCAGTGAAAAACAAGTCCCGAGTCGACGGAAAGCTCTTTCTCTCTAAATTCTGTCCCACTGGCCGGAGCTGTTTACTAGTTCCGGGCTATGAAGGCGTTCCAGTGTATGGGTATGGTGTGACATAAAGTCACAGAAAAATCAGTTGACAAGAATAAAGCCAGAGGTGACCCAGCAGGTGTTCTTCGATAACCTCATTACTCTTTTGTCATTCGGTCCTCAGATAAAGTGTGCGTCCCCAGTAATCCATCACGCAGTCCTCTAAAGTCAGAGAAACTGGTTCGATGTCTTTCGATGTCTTTTGCTGTCTGAGCATTGGGTTAAGTAGGTGCTGTTGCTACACATCAACCACTAGATATCATATAAAGCGCAAGGACCGTCAGCAGGGCCTACTGGGGAGGAATCATTTGTGGCTGGAAGCACTGCATCAGACTAATACATGAACCTGGAGCGAGATTTAGTCGTCATGGAGGCTGACGGAAGAGTGGACCTGTCATTTACGGCTAACCCGAGTCTTTCTGTTAGCCTAGCGTCCATTTTAGGGCTTTTACGATTCTGAGGGCTGGAGTAGTGCTTGGAAAGTCTTTGAGTCACATTACTCCGTTTCAATGGGGGAGTCCAGACCTACGTGAACAAGTAACCGAACGGATGACTTGAAAGTAACCTGCTCTGCTTTCTTCACCATTACAGAGTCATCTGGGAGAGGAAGCTGCTTTGTGTGCCGCCTCCAAGTCACCTCGCGGCCCGCCAAGGAAACTTGTCAGTGGAAACATCAAAACTGACACGCCAGACAACAATCGACCTCCCATTTCGAACTGTCAGCCTTGAAAATATTCAAATGTTCTGACAATTACGACCCATAGACCGAAATTGTGGAGTAATCTAAGTTTTTTCTGGAATCAAGGGTACTTTTTCCAGCGAGACCTCTTTCCTTATCCAGGATGCGCCAACCCGTTCAAACTCCCTTCAGATTCGTACTAGCGTTTTAATATGTACTTGATCCTTACATAGAGATGAGGGAACCAGTCACCCACGTTGGTGCCGTTTGCTCCAGATCTAGTATCTGTTACCGTACTACTACAGCATAATATTACTATTAGTTGGTATCAACTACCCTAACCACCCAAACCAGAAGGGTTGATTCGTCCGGGCACAAATTGATCTGGGTTTTGGTCTGAAAGCCATGATGTAACAATAGCGCCATAACCTTTCCCTCATAGGTGTTATTAGTAAATACCTAAACAATGCCTAAAAAGGTCTCTGAGCCAGTAAATGGATCGAGTCACTCCAATGGAAATGATGAAAGGCAAAAACAATTACGTTTGATGTCTGTTAGAATTTGATTACACGGTTTAGTACAGTATGTTCCTGAACAAAGACGTGTAGAGTTTCAGACAATGCTTGGTCGACAAAGAACTGCCCACAGGCGTAGGGAAAAAGTGAATGTCTTAATAGGGTACACCACTGATAGTGGAGGTGGTTTGCTTTGTTTTCAATGACCTAGTGGTTTCACTTGTCAGAGAACATTTTATCAAAAAGAACCTTCTGAGCTAAACCTCCTGGCTGGACTCGACTTAAGGTTAAAAAAAATCCGACATGGAGGTCAAAACCGGGACTATAAACCAAAGTTCATGCACGTAACTTTACATTTATAACCGAAAGGTTCAACCCAACCCACACTTAACCTTCTCTCTAGTTCCCATAAGGGATAGTTCTCATTGATAAAAACCAAACCGAATTGTTCTTGAGCAGAGCGCAAGTACTAACACTAACCCTTTGTGATGTATATACTAGTTTGATGATAGGGTTTGATAAGTTATACAAACTTGCCTATGTGCCATACTCGACAGGCCTCCCAAACTCCAGTAGGCTTCATTTTCTCAAAAAAGGGGCCCCAAGGCCACAAATCTAATGGTAAGCATTGGCTAAATAGTTCAGTAGAAGTGATCACCGATTGAGGGAACACACCCCGCACAGTTGAACCCATTGCCTGATATTAAAATACAAATTACATTCGCAACAATAACTAGGGCCAAGATCGGTGCTTCTTTGACAACCCGACTTTCTTGAGGAGATTCAGTCTTTGTGAAAAATTTCCCACGCGAACAAACTGCTCAGATTGAGAAGATAGACGCTTGCGGAGAAATTTCTACCCCACAGCTAGCTCATTTCAAACCTTCAGTCAATGAATTATTGTACAGAAGACACCATTTTGTATGGGATTATTAGTCATTAATATTCATCACGCAATACACACGCAAACGGCGTACCTAAACAAATTTCGAGTGGATGTAGCAAAGGGGAAAACGAGAGCAGCAGCGGAGAAAACAATAAAGAGGATGGACAGCCATCTATCGCGACACACTTAAGCTTTATTGGACAAAAAGGGAGTAACCAGAACAACTGGCTTAGTTTTACGTCCTCAACTGCTCTTTCAAAGTCTTTTAATTTGGTTGTAGTGTTGGTTATTTATTTCCATTTATTTATTTTATTTCGCATTCTCTGCATTCTCTGCTGCATACAATCCCTATAAGTTATGAGAAAAATCCTTAATATGTTAGTTAGAAGAAGATGAAAGGATGAAGCCATTGACATCGTCAACTTCGTTTTTGGGATACGCCTTACATCCGACTTCCATTTAGAATCATAGTAGCGTTTTGAAGGCGTTTGTGGCTTATACAATGAATTGCGCTGGCCAATCGATGTACAATACAAGTCAAAGCCTTTGTACTCCCATACAATCCTGGTACCAGGTTAGTCGACCCTGGAGAAATGAAGACTAGGTTGGCCTAGGCGGGCATCGATTCGAGAATCGATCCCTCGATAATGCGAGTGTGATAGTGCGCCTCTTGCTGTTATACTATACCACCACTTGCCCAAATCAGGAGAACTGCAGTTGAATTATAAGTTTTTCTAATCAAAAGTCAACCACTTCAGTACTAATCTGTTCGAGTTAGCGAATATTTCCTTTAGTTAAATTTCAATGTTGAAAGTGCCATTTTTAATTGCGCCAGTACTGATCCGAGTCCCACCCAAGGTTAAGTGCTTCGGTCATCAATCAGTGTCGTTGGGAGAGTCGATAGGGGATTTTTATTTACAGTACATCCTTAAAAAAGTAATAAATTACATGCACTAGTTGATGTACTATCATTTACCTTCACCTGTACTCGAGTCGTATAACTAGTTGTAATACAAATGAAGTAGGTTGTGACTGAAGCCATCAATCAATAGTCATATATCGTACGGGAAGCCTCTTTCTCCATGGCTTCACTGGCGTAATGAACTCATAGTTAGTTATGTCTATCGATGGTAAAGGGGTTGAGATCCAAATAGAGAAAGCCAGTGAATCGTCTATAGAATGTTGTGGGTAGATTTACCGGAACCCTCTATAAGCGTAATAATGTACTTATAGATACCTGAGGGTTTCTACCAAGTACCTTCATCCAAGTAACGAAGAACAGGGGCGATAAAGGTGACATATCACGTGATTGAACCGATCAATCAATATGCTACATTGGGGCTACGGTCTCCCGTGGTGATAGTTCCCGTTCGCAGAGATCTCCGTTTTATCACATGTCACAACGACCGATTGCAGTAAACGTTCGTATTGACCGTTGGACTTTTCATGAAAATGGCCTTGGGATCGTAAAGGGCACATTTGGAGCATTTCAGTTCAAATACGTCAGCAAATTCGATTAACTCTGTATGTCAAACGGAAGAAAAGTTTAAAGGGGATGACATACTGATAACTGACGTAGGAGTACAACCAGTTCAGTTCTGCCCAAAAAGTCAAGTGAAATAACTTGTACTATCGAAAGAATTGTACTATTGAAAATTCTGAAAGTCAGTGTCACAAGTCTATCCGACAGATTTCCCCGCGCCTGAGCCCACACGAGAGCTTCACTTGGGGGATCTCTTCGGCCATGTAGGAGCTCTGGGAGCTCCATTGAAGGAATCAAGCCTCTTGATGAAGTTATTGCACAGAAATGATCATTGTATCAATGGGGCACGTCACCCCGCAACTGAAGTAAACAAAGTAAGGAAGTTGGTAATATCGAATCCTTGGGGAGAGGCAAACTTGACACCACAGAATCGACGATGTGACCGGCTTTGCTAGATGGCTTTACTGAATTCGGCGTTATCTACGTGATTTATTTACTACTGCAGTTATTTGAAGAAGAAACAATTCTTCGCTCTCTCTGGGTGGTAAGCTCTCCACCGTTAGGATTCTCGAGATCTTTACGTTTGCTATGCCCTATCGAATGTTTCGAGAAGCGAACCCGTCCATATTTTACAAACTCGAGGAT